TATTCCAAATTTTAACCTTTCCTTCGAATACAGATTGCTAGTGTTCACCCACAAATTTGTCCATGAGACAGTGTTAGGAACTGGAACTCCAATTAATGGGAGACCCAGGCTTTCTCCTGATTTAGGCAACTGTGCACAAACCCAACAGTCACTACAATTAAAAACATCAGTAACATTCTTCACTAATTTCAGGTATAAGTTCTGGTCCCAAGCTTGTGCGCCAGTTATCATATGAGTCCAAATTATGACCAATGCCATTTTATACATAAGGGTCCTGAAGGTTTGATCCGCCATGTCTTCTCTGGCTCTGGTGCTTTCTTAATTCTTGAATAATGTATCCAAGCAGGTTGTTTCTTTATCTTCACTGCTGTAAAGGTGGTCAGTAATATCTGGTACAGTCCGCTCCACTTCTCTAGAGGATCTAACTGAAAAATTCTTAACATAAACCTAGTCTCCAGATCTGAAAGGGTGAATCGGATAATCCAAACCTCTTGCTCTTGTCCCTACTATTCTCTTATTTATCTCCTCCAATTGTTTTCCCAGATTGATTAGAAACTGCTGGAGATAGTCTTCTCCCACTTCCTGAAGACTTTCTCCTTTAAACTGGGACTGATACGGTCTTCCATACAAAATCGCAAATGGACTGACCTCTTCTTTTGACTGAGGTTTAGTTTGAATTCTTAATAGAGCCAGTGGTAATGGTAGTATAAATTCATTTCCCGACATATTTTACTAATCTGTTGTTTAATCAGATGGCTCATCTTTTCTACTTGCCCACTGACCTGAGGCCTACATGGAACATGTAGTTGCCAATCAATTTCTAATTTTTTGCTAATTTTTTGTAACAATTTTGCACTAAAGTGTGAACCCCAGTTGGAAGATATTGCTGCTGGTACTCCAAAACAAGGTATTATTTCATTTAATAATGTTTTAATCACCTGTCTTGCATTATTTATCCTACAAGGGAATGCTTCTGGCCAGCCTGAAGAGGTATCCGTTAACACCAACAACTATCGATAACCCCCTTTTCTTGGTAATTCAGAAAAATCTGTTTGGCACTGCTGTCCCGGATGACTTCCTCTCCCAGTTGTCCCAATTTGATTTCTGTTTTCAGTTTTAGGATTATTCTTAAGATATAACTGACATTGCTTTGTCACTAATTGAACTGTGGTGTATAGATTCCTTCCTACAATTTGTCTAAATATTTATACAAAGAGTTGCTACCCCAATGAGTTTTATTATGTTCTTCCTGAACTAACTTCCAGAGTTGGTTATAGGGGATTACAATTCGCCCATAAGGTATTTCAGCCCAACCCTCTTTATTTTCCTGTCCCTTTAGATCCTCAATCAATTTTCTATCCTCTTCTGAATACCTAGGTTTAGAAATTTCAATTGTTAGTTTGCCATCAGGGATTAAGGACATGATTTGAGATTGTTCGGCTGCTGGTTTGGCTTCAAACTTAGCCGAATTATTTCCAATTTCCTGATCAGAGTCACCTTGTTGATGTCCTTTACAGTACATAATAGCTACTTCTTCAGGTAGCTGAACAGCTTCCAGTAATTGTAGAATTTCTGTAGCATGTTTAATCTGTTTCCCTTGTGTGTTCAAAAGTCCTCATTCTTTCCAGATAGCACCATGTGCATGTACCACACCAAATGCGTATTTAGAATCAGTCCAAATATTTATCCTTTTATCTTTAGCCAATTCCAGGGCTCTTGTTAATGCTATTATTTCTGCCTTCTGGGCAAAAGTGTTCGCAGGTAAAGGTTTAGCTTCTATTACCTGTGAAGTGGAGGTAATGGCATATCCTGCCTTTCGTTTACCATTTTCATGAAGCTACTACCATCAGTAAACCAAGAATCAGCATCTTCCAGAGGTTTTTCTTTTAAGTCTGGTCGGCTCGAATATAGTCTCTATGGTGGTCAAGCAGTCGTGTGTTAGTGGTTCTGTCGATTGTTCCTGCAAAAAGGATGCTGGATTCACAACGTTAGTGAGCACAATTTCTGTATCATCCTGTTCTACAATGGTGGCCTGGTATTTAAAAAAACATGAAGGAGATAACCAGTGGGCTCTTTTCTGTTCCAGGACTGCTGATACCACATGGGACACTAGCACAGTAATCTTTTGTCCCAAGGTGAATTTGTGAGCCTCTTCAAGATTCATGATGACTGCTGCCACAGCCCTTAGGCATCCAGGCCATCCTTTGCTCGTTTCATCCAGCTGTTTTGAAAAATACGCCACTGCCTTTCTGTACAGTCCTAGTTTCTGAGCAAGGACCCCCAAGGCTATTCCTTGTTTTTCATAGGGACATCTGGGAAGTCCCAGAGCTGGAGCTCTCATTAACTCTAAATTTCTAAAAGCCTCCTCTGCTTTATCAGTCCAGTCCAAAGAGGGAGGGCTTTCCCTTCAACAGTTCATATACTGGTCCTACCAGAACACCATAATCATGGATCCAAAGTCTGCACCATCCAGTCATTCCCAGGAATGTCCAGAGCTCCTTGACGGTCGACGGTCGTGGAGTCTGGCAAATGGCTTCTTTTCTGGCAGTCCCAAGTTCTCTCTGTCCTCCTGTTATTTCATATCCTAGGTAGGAAACTCAGGTTTGGATTAGTTGGGCCTTTTGTCTGGTTACCCAATAACCAGTCCCAGAAAATTCAATAATCCCACCATTCACTGGACACATTCTTCCTGTTTCTGTAGCAATTAACGGGTCATCCACATATTGTAACAGAGTCCCTGTCTGAGCAGGTGGCTTTCATGATTCTAATTCTCGTGCTGATTTTCCAAAAACTGCTGGATTGTTTTTAAATCCCTGTGGTAATACTGTCAAAGTTAAGTTTTTCTTCCTGTGTCAGAATTTTCCCATTCGAAAGCAAAAAATTTTGGCTTTCTTTGGCCAATGGTAAGCAAAAGAAATGGTATGACATCTGGAGGCAAGGTCTGTCATTGCAGGTAGCTTATAGAGCTGTGGTTCATATATGAATGAAGACCCAAGAAGCCAAAACTCGATCAGTTGAAACTGGCCAATGTTGTGTTAGGTGACAAAAATGGCTTTTTAAGTATGTTCATAGCAAGAGGAGTTTGAAAGAAATAGAGTGGTACTTGTGGAAGATGGTCCCTCCCTGAGTAACAGGGACTAAGGAGTAGAGAAGACTGTGCTTTTCTTGCCTCAAGTTTTAAACTGTTAGCCCCCTGGGCTGCCCAGTCCCCTGTCACAGAGGACAGTCCCCTGATCGTCCTGACTGGAAACTAGCCAATGTTCTTCCAGTCTGCAAGAAGGTCACGAGGAAATCTTTCCTCATGAAAGCAACTACAGACCAGTTGGTCTCACCTCAGCGCCTGGACAAAATATGGAGGTCTAAGGTCACCTGCCTCATTGATGAAGAGAAGGGGGTGGATGTAGTTTCTGTGGATTTTAGTCTAAACTGGGCAAGCGGAGGTTGGAGGGCAGCTCTACAGAAAGGAAACTGCTGGGGTTGCTCCTGTGCACCACGAGCCAGCAGTGTGCCCTTCCAGCCAAGGTGACAAACCACATCCAACAGACAAACACAAGACATAATTATCAGCATTGATGTGGCCTCACCTTGAGTACTGTGTGCTGTGCTGAGTGCTCCAATTGAAGAAGCATGCGAGGGTCGGCTTCCTAAGGAGGGGAAGTGGAGAAGGAGGCACTGAGCTCTTTTCCCTCATATCCAGTTACAGGATGTGTGGGAGCAGTTCAAAGCCACACCTGTGGAGGACTGGACTTGACATTATGAGCATTTCTTTCCTGAAAGAGTGGTCAAACACTGGAAGAGGCTTCCTAGAGAGGGGGTCAATGGCCCAAGCCTGTCAGTGTTTAACAGGCACTTGCACACTGCCCTTAAAACATTTTTTTGATCAGCCCTGAAGTGGTCAGATAGCTGGAGCAGAAGATCATTCAAAATGAAGTACTTTGTCCTGGGTTCAGCAGTAGCAGACAGTGTTCTCCTTCTCAATAGCTGGTGCAGTGCTTTGTTCCTGACTTTCAGCCTAGGAAGAATGCTGATAACACCAATGTTTTTAATTGTTGCTAAGTAATGTTTACTCCGACCAAGGACTTTCTCAGTCTCATGCTCTGCTAGGGAGGAGGGGAAGCCAGGAGGAAGCAGAGACAGGACACCTGACCCAAACTGAGCCTCTAGCCAAAGGGGTATTCCATACCACAGCACATCATGCCCAGTAAACAGAGGAGAGTTAACCAAAAGGCCCAGATCGCTGCTTGGGTTGGGCTGAGTATCAGTTGGCAGGTGGTGAGCAATTCTATTCTCTCCCCTTGTTATTTCACTTATCATTATTATTATTGGTGGTAGCAGTAGTATTTTTGTGTTATACCTTAGTTATTGGACTGTTCTTACCTCAACCTGTGGGAGCTGCATTCTTTCAGTTCTCCTTCCCATCCCTCCAGGAGCGGAGGGAGAAAGAAAGGGGGGATTGAGCTAGGTAGCAGCTGCATGGTTCTGAGTGGCCAGCTGGGCTTAAACCATGACATACTTCCAGCGTATCCTAGTCTAGTCTTGCCTGGTCTAGTCTAGTCCATTACATTTTATCCCAATACCATTTGTGCTGCTGTATTCCCCGGGCAATCTCAAGAAGACAGCCCACCCAACCACCCCCTTATGGGCCAATGGAAGACCTCAAGTGTTTTGCTGCTCTTCCTTAAGGAAAAGACTGCTGCACTCAAAAGGTCTAAACAACTTTCTGCTTCACTGGAATGATGTGCAATGGCTGGATGTGCGCAACTACCTGCTGTGATATGTAGCTCTTGTGCAGCCTAAGCAGACACACAACCACTGTATGGACAGACTCAGTGGCCAGAAGGAAAGACACACAGCATTTCCATTTGAGACAGAGAAATTTAGAACCCAGAGGAGAAAGAGCCATGTACTCACATCACATCGTCACACAGTGCTCAAAACATCCTTGCTTTCCTGACCCACAAGGAGGGCTATGTGCATTTCAGCATGGTTCTAGTTTGTGTTACAGCACAGAGGAATTTTCCATGGTCTTGCCTCTCAGCAACTGAGATGAAATCATAGCTGGGGTCATGGAACTAAAAACATTCTCAAAGCATTTCAGAATTGTATTTTCACCTCTATAACAAAGGTGAAACGTGCCGTTTCCTAAATGAGGCAGTCTTAATTACTTTTGTTGGGTTTTATTCTGTAGGAGAAGTCAATATTTTTCCTCACTTTGTAGGAAGTCATTGATGCCAACTGTAAATACAGATTTTCTCTGGAGGTCACATTGCCACATGTCCTAGCAGGGATCCTTACTGTCATTAAATGTGAAGCATCTGTGCCAACACCATGCTAGTTAAAGGAAAGACTATTGAACTGTTCTGCAGAAAGCATCCCAGGGTTGTCTGGTTCCATGTCCCCTGAAGTACCAGGGCCACAGGGGAAATCTACTTCATTGTTGGTACCCCCACCTGTGGCATGGAGCTGTGGTGGCAGGCTGGGGAGGATGGGCTTCAGGAACTTGAACTCGCTGTTGCCAGAGCCCGTTGTGAGGCTGATCTCATAGCAATAGGCATGGGGCAGGGTAGCTGCAGCAGCCCCATCAGCCAGGCTGCTTTGCAAGTTGCTGGCACCATAAAGCACATGCCCATCCTTCAGTTCCTTTCTCTTGCACACCTTGCGAATGACAAAGGCTGCTGTGGACATGAGGAAGAGGAGTGAGATGAAGACCAAGGAAATGATTAAATACATTGTCAGGGAGCTGCCCTCATCCTCTGTGGTCAGGCTGCTGTGTTGCAGGTGCATGTCCGAGAAGTCACTGAGCAGGAGTGCACTCATTGCTGCAGTGGCTGACAGTGGTGGCTGCCCATTGTCTCGCACCAGTATGACGAGCTTCTGCTTCACGGCATCTCTCTCTGTCACCGATCTCCTCAGTCGCACCTCCCCACTTTGGGCACCCACCACAAACAGTCCAGGATCAGAGGCCCTCAGCAGGTGGTAGGAGAGCCACGAGTTCTGCCCTGAGTCAGCATCAACAGCCACCACTTTGGTGATGAGGTAGCCTGCCTCAGCTGAAATGGGCACCAGCTCACTGGATGGAGAGCTGCTTTCCTGTGAGGGATATAGTACCAGTGGGGCATTGTCATTCTCGTCTACCACAACAAGGCAGATGGTGACATTGGCGCTGAGAGGTGGTGACCCTGCATCAGAGGCACTCACCATGACCTCGATCTGCCTCACCTGCTCATAGTCCAGGGGCCGCAGCACAAACACATCCCCATTCTCAGAGTTCACAGAGATGCAGGAGCAGGGAGGGTGCTCTGTATGGTGGGCTGGGACCAGAGCATAGGTCACCTTGGCATTAGGCCCAATGTCAGCATCTACAGCACCAACAGTCCCAACGAGCACTGTGGGAACGTTATTCTCACGTACATACATGGTGTACGATGTCTGGTTGAACACAGGTGCATTGTCATTCACGTCGGAGATGTCCACTGTGAAGGTGTGGGTGATTGTGAGAGGAGGTGACCCCGCGTCTGCTGCTGTGACTGTGAGGATGTATCGTGCCGTCTCCTCCCTGTCCAGTGCACTGACAGTCACAAGCTCAAAGTAATTCTTATAGGCTGGCCGCAGGAAGAATGACTGCTGGTCCTCGAGGCCACACGAGATCTTCCCATTGGAACCAGAATCCCGGTCCCTGACAGTAAACAGGGCAACGACTGTCCCAGGCAATGCATCCTCAGGGATTGGGCTGCTGAAGGAATTGACCACCAGTTCCGGTGCATTGTCATTCACATCCACCACCTCCACCAACACTCTGCAAATTCCTGAGAGGCCCCCACCATCTGTGGCCTGAACACTAAGCTCATGATTCTCTGCTGTCTCAAAGTCCAAAGGTTTTGTGAGTTTAATTTCACCACTCATGGGGTCTATCGTGAATGCTGAGTAGCTCTGGTCTCCTGCTTGGCTGATCTGATAAGATATGTCCCCATTAACTCCTGCATCACGATCGGTCGCAACGACTCTGAGAACCACAGAGCCCTCTGGGGCATTTTCCAAAACCTGCCCAACATAAAGTTCCTGTGAGAAGATGGGAGCATTGTCATTTACATCTAGAATGACAACGTGGATTTGGGTGGTTCCACTCCTGGGTGGAGAGCCCCCATCTACTGCAATGAGACTGAAATCCATCTCTGCCTTCTCCTCCCTGTCGAGTGGCTTTTCCAGGACCAATTCCACATACTTCTTGCCCTTAATTTGACTCCCCAAATCAATACCAAAGTACTTGCTCTCAGGAGCTATGCTGTAAGCCTGGATACTGTTGCTGCCAACATCCAGGTCCCGAGCCGCCTGCAGAGGAAAACGAGAGCCAGGGTTGCTCGTTTCCACTATCTTAAGAGTGACCCGTTCCTCCGGGAAAACGGGCGCGTGGTCATTGATGTCCTCCACGCCCACCTCCACCCGAAAGAACTGCACGGGGTTTGCCAACAGGAGCTCGAAGGGCAGAGTGCAGGTAGCGGACTGGCCGCACAGCTCCTCGCGGTCCAGCCTCTCGGCCACGACGAGGCGGCCGGTGCCCGGCTCTAAGCGAAGGTGCTGCCGGCCGTCCTCCGAGAGCAGGCGGGCGCGGCGAGCCGAGAGCTGCGCCGGGGCCAGCCCCGCGTCCTCCGCCACGTTGGCTACCACGGAGCCGCTCTCGCTCTCCTCGGCCACGGAGTAGCGGATGGGCTCGGCGCGAGCGTGCGGCAGGGAGAGGAAAGCACAGAGACAGAGCACTTGCCTTGCGGTCGCCATGGCGGGGGGGCGGACAGCGTCTGTATCTGTATCGGGGATCACTCGCGCAGTCCTCCACGGTAATCGGCGCCCGATAGCAGCGCGTCCGAAAGGCTGGCGGTCCGGAGCGCTGCCGCCGTATTGCGGCAGCGTGTGGTACGGGCTTCTGGTCGCGTATCCTGCCTAGCTCGGCTCTGCCGGGCTGGCCTGGGCTCTGCTGGTCTGGGTTCTGCTCTGCTCTGTTGGGTTGCGCAGAGCCAGTGTGGGCTCTGGCGACCCCTTTCGCAGCTGCTCTCCGTCGCCTTGGCCGGCAGCACCACCCTGCGGCCCGAGACGGGACTGCTCCCGTCTCCGCCCGCTGCCCGCGCTGTCGGCTTGCCCCAGCACACGGACCCGTGCGCACATAGGCGGCGGTCGGGTCCTCACCCGCATTGGGACCCCGCGGCAGGATGCTCGCACACCGCGCAGGGGACAGCAGAGCGGGTCAGGAGAGCCGAGAGCCCTGTGGGGCCGCCGCTCATCACCGACAGCTGCCCCGCGGGTTCCTCCGCTGTCCAGAGTGCTCCGGTGACGTCCCGGTGGAGACCAGTGCACAGCCAGGCTGCCACAAGGCTTAATCCGGACGCGGAGGAGCAGGCAGAGTTGGCGCAAGGCGGGGGAGAAGCCATCCAGTGGGATGATGCCAAGGGTGGCGGTGCTTGCAAAGGCACGGGAAGTGCCTGCGCCCAGGACAGCATGCTCACCACAATGTTTCCTAAAGGGAGTCTTCGACGAGCCCGCAGGAATGCACAGCAGTACTTGCAGGTGCTCAAGTCCTGGAGAGTCCTTCTCTCGGGTAGAAACTGTGATACATCTTGTAGTTGTGCACTGCATCAGACACCTGTCCCATCCAGCTGGAATGACCCGAGAAGCAGTCGGTTACGTGGTGCTGGTTCCTTGTGATCTTCGGAGGAGAGACACTCCTACCTTCTCAAATGTCTTTCACAACTCCGTTTCTTACAGGTGTTCTATTGGAGGAGATTAGTATCCATAAGCCTATGTCTGTTTGGATGTGGAGAACCCTGAGCAGAGTAGCTTCAGGCAGGACTCCAGCCAGGCACTGCATGACCCCACTTAGGGAAAAGAGTACTCCCTTGCCACTCCTTCAAGCCAGTTTAGAGCTTTCCTGCCAGAGAGCAGCTTCTTTTCCACTGTCCCAAGTAGTTCTATGTGGACTTACTGATCACAGGTGGCTTTCTCACCAGTAGCAAGTGGGTGTTCACTATAGGTTCCTTACATAAAATGAGCTGAATTTCTTCTTCTGCCAAAGGATTTGTGCAATGCAACACAGCACAGGATAGCCAAGGCTCATGCCTGAAAAGAAATTGTAGCTAGGTTGGGGTTGGTCTCTTCTTGTAAGAAGTACAGAATGTGAGAATAATCTCAATTTGTGCCAGAGTCTAGACTGGGTTAGGAGACATTTCTTCATTAAATGGGTTGTCAGGCATTTGCAAATGCTTCCCAGGGAAGTGGTTGAATCATCATCCCTGGACATGGCACTTTGGGGCATGGTTTTGTGGTATCTTTAGCAGTGTTAAATAATCACTGGACTTGTGTCAGGGATCTTTACCAACTCAAATTATTCCTTCACTCAGGATGATTGAATAGTGGAGCCATGCAAAAGGGGTGGCTGTAGTCCTCTGCATGTCATAGAATCACAGAATCCTCGAATGGTTTGGTTTGGAAGGGTCTTTAAAGATCATTTAGTTCCAACCTGCCCTGCAATGGACACAAAGGGACACATTCCACTAGAAAAGTTCCACAAAGCCCCATCCAACCTGACCATACATGGGACATCCATCACTTCTCTGGGTAACCTGTTCCAATGCCTTACCAATCCTACAAGGAAGAACTTCTCCATAATGTCTAATGTATATCTACCCACTTTCATTTTAAAGCCATATCCGCTTGTCCTATCACCACATGAACTTGTACAGGCCCTTTAGGAAGGGCTGCTCTACAGCCTCCTTGAGCCTTCTGCTGTCCAGGCTGGACAACTCCATCTCTCTCAAGGTTTCTTCATAAGAGAATTGCTCCAGCTATCTAATCATCTTTGTGGCCCTTGTCTGGAGTCAATCCAACTCACTCCAACAGATCCACATCCTTATCTTGCAAGCACACATTGATGGGTTAAGTTTAGCTTTGCATCAACCAACACTTGTCACTTGGACATTGAGCCATTAACCACAAATCTTTGAGTGCAATTATCCTTCCAATTTCATATCCATATCCATTTTAAGTAGATCCATCATATACTTCTCCAATTTTTTAAGGAGAAGGGTGTAATGCGGGACAGTCAAGTCTTTGCCCAAGTCCAAGTAGATGATATCATTTGGTCTTCCCTTACAGACCAATGCCATAACCCCATTGTGGAAGGCCATCAAATTGTTCAGGGATGTTAGTGAGGCCATGTCCGCAGGTACCAATCACATCCTTACATCCCATGAGCCTTTGAATGCATTCCAGGGAGATCTGGTCCATGATCTTGCTGGGCAATGAGGTGACTGACTGGCTTGTAGTTTCCTGGCAATTTTTCCTTGTAAATTTTGGGGTTATGTTTCCCATTATTCTGTCACTGGGATCCTCGACTGCCATGACTTCTGAAACATGATGGATAATATATTGACTATTGCATCTCTTCAAGTCCCACGTACTTCTACAGCTTTATGTTATTTAGTTGGTCTCAAAACAACTACAGTGGGTTGTCATTCTCCCAGTCCATTACTTGCCCTTCGTGGCTTGATCATTGATGCTAGAGCACTTGCCAGTGAAGGCTGAGACATTTCTGTAGAGAAGCCTCTCCCTGGTCACTGTTTTTGCTCACCAAATGCCCACATCGTGGAGTTCCCACAAATACCATAAACACTTCCAAAAGAACAGGGATGCCATCTTTGTGACATCCATCTTCTGAAACTCCACTTTCAGTGTCACACTTTGTTCTGGAAAGCCTCACAGTTGCCATCTGCAGAAGTCAGGAGAGTAGGGCAGGTCACTCTCCCCACTTCCCTGCTTTGCAGATGTCAAAACAGACCCAGGGTCTCTGGGAAGGAGGAGGCCTGATATTCTAGATCTGCATATAATGCCTCGTCACACCAAGACAGTACCGGGGAGACCTGTAGAGGCCTGAAAGCAATTCCCTGCTCCTTATAACTTTCTTGAAGGCTCCACTGGCAACATCTCCCAGTTCAAGAATTGTACCCACTCAACCTTAACTTGGCCAAGGGAAAACACGGAAAAAACACTCCTGGCCCTTTGGAAACTGTGACAGAACTTTCACAGGAAGGACAGCCCTACAGATGTGACTGGCTCCACACAAAGCATTGAAGCGTTCTCTTTATTTTGCTTTTACACACAAGGGTCTCCCATGTTACAACAGCTCAGCTTATAACTGCAGCACAACACAGAATGAGGGTTTCCCAATATCCTGTACCATGCTTTCTTTTAAACAATCTTTTAATTACATGGGGGAGTGACATTCCTCCTTAAGAGGAAGAGGCAATCTTCAAATGTAGTCAGAGCAGAGGGAGAAAAGACATGACAATACAAATGCTCTAAGAGAAAAACACAGAAAATCGTAACAGCTTTCCACTCCCATCAAGAAACCTTCGAATCCAGGAACAATGACGATACCAAACTCAGAGTTCATTTTCAGATTTGATCTTGATGCTACCTTCAGAGAAAGTTCCTTAAAGCAACTTGTGGAGTTTCTTTACAATCTTCTTTAAGGAACATTCTCATAGCTCTGTATGGTTACAGTCTACTAGAAGGCAATTCCACTGTGCCAAAAGTCAAGCACGCGGGGCAGAAAATCAGCTTGACCAAACAGGGAAATCCTTGTGGAGTTCCAAAGGAAAAAGAAATTGTTCTGCTGCTCTCCCCTAGAGACTATGAGAGTTTTCTACTAAAAAACCCAAAATATCTTTCTCCATGCTGGGCTGGAATTTCAATGGCTGGATGGGAGCATCTGCCTACTTTGATGTGTAGCCCTTGTGCAGCATAAGCAGACACAGCTGTACGCACAGACACAGTGACCAGAAGGAAAAAAATAGAGAGCCCACCCATCTCAGAGACATGCAGAGAAGAAAGAGCCCTATGATCATACATTGTCACACAGTACTCACAATGTCCTTGCTTTCCTGACACACACATTTGAGTGAAGTTGTTTGTCTACCCCACCACGCCATTGTGTTACAGCACAAAGGAGTTGGTCCAAAGTGTTGCCTGCCAGCAACTGAGACAAGAATTTGCCTGGGGTCCTGGCACTAATCCTAATCTGAAAGCAATTCAGACATGGCTGCACAGAGCAGAAACATGCAATGTCTTGAATGAGAGAGCTTTATTTTGTTGGATTTGTACGTTCTTTGTTTGCTTGGGGTTTTTGTGGAGGTGAAGTCAGTATTTTTTCTCACATTGTCTTCATGGGAAGTCACTGATGTCAACTGTAAATACAGATTTACTCTGGAGGTCACATTGCCACATATTTTAGCATGGATACTTTCCTGCCATGACGCACTGTGCCAATAGCATGCTAGTTAAAGGAAAGACTATTGAACTGCTCTGCAGAAAGCATCCCAGGGTTGTCTGGTGCCACGTCCTCTGCAGTGAGAGTGCCACAGGGGAAATCTAGTTCACTGTTGGTACCCCCACCTGTGGCATGAAGATGTGGTGGCAGGCTGGGGAGGATGGGCTTCAAGAACTTGAACTCGCTGTTGCCAGAGCCCGTTGTGAGGCTGATCTCATAGCAATAGGCATGGGGCAGGGTCCTTGCAGCAGCCCCATCAGCCAGGCTGCTCTGTAAGTTGCTGGCACCATAAAGCACATGCCCATCCTTCAGTTCCTTTCTCTTGCACACCTTGCAAATGACAAAGGCTGCTGTGGCCACGAGAAAGAGGAGTGAGATGAAGACCAAAGAAATTATTAAATAGGTTGTCAGGGAGCTGCCGTCATCCTCTGTGGTCAGGCTGCTGTGTGGTAGGCGCATGTCTGAGAAGTCACTG